TCACAACAATATTATTCTCTCTGTACCCTTACACATATCTTATTACAATTATTGATATCACATCACTTCAAAATAATAAATCAAGTAGAAATGAAGTGTTTGATTAAAGAATTTTAGAAAGTTTCAGTAGATTTAAATGAAATTATTGATATCAAATTAACGGGAAAGAAAAAGTAACTCAAAAGTAATAGAAAAAAAAATTAAAAAAAATAATATTTAAAAAATCTTATTTAGGAACAAAGATTTATGGCGAGAAAACAATACTATTTAAAGTAAATGCAAATTTTTTTATATAGACACATCGATACCTTAAAACTTCTTTTGGAAAAAATTATTTGGGTATATTTGATAACAATAACTGAAAAGTTAGTTGATAGGTTATATTTTAATTGATATATAGTTAATAATTAAACTAATCTCTAGTTGATAGCTTAAAATTTCTGTAAGTTCAAAATTAATGTCTAAAAGCTATTTGAGTATGTTTGGTAAATATAACTGAAAAGCTAGTTGATAAAATCATAAAATATGATAAGCTAATTGATAATTGACAAGTTAACTTGGTATTGATAGCTTGAAACGTATCAATAAATTCGATATATATATGTTTTTAAATCCGATAAAATCTATGTATAATAAAACTAATTGAAATTCGGCTAGCTTGTATAATAATACTCGATAAATTTAGTTGATAAGTCAATTGCAACAAAATTTTCAATACATGTTTTTGAAAATCTATGGATGTTACACTAGCATTTCAGATAAGTTTTAAATTTTTTTAGAAATAATATTAATTCTATCAAACAAACTCATTTATCTACCAAAAAGTAAATTATAAACTCATTAAAGAAGTTACAATCTAGCTTATATTAATTATTAAACATAAAATTAGTGGGTAAGACCAACTCTAATCGAGCTGCAAACGCATATTCAAACCTAAATTTTTGTTCCAACCGAACTGCAATTTCAATCGCAAAATGCGTCTGAGCTGATTTTCTCTCTCCACAAAACACATATATGTTTCGACTGTTCACTACTGCAAAACTACTTTTTTGTTTTTTCATTTTAACCCTTATATATTCAATATTCATATATTGTCACAGAAATTTTATTTATTACATATATTGGACATATTTTGATGTCTAATATATTATTTATTTTGATTTAAAAATTTTATTATATTTTATTACTTTCTAAATTTGGAATAATAAATAACTAGTATAACACCCGTGTATTACACGGGTGCTTGCTAATTTTTTTCTTAAAGTCTAAAATTAATGTGAAAAAGTAGTTGAAAATTTAAATCTTTTTTACAAAAATATATATTATTATATATTAGCATAAAAACTTTTTATTTATGCGACTTACCTGTATTATATTATAATAATTTTTAACTTACAACATATAACTACATTAAAAATAAATATATCAATTGATAAATAATTTTATTTTACTAATAAATTTTGATAAATATTATTATTTTTTATTATTATAAAGATAAATATAATTTATTTATTTCATATATACAATATGTGGATGTCAAATCGAAGATCATCAAAAGATGATTAATTTGATATATAATATATGTAAACCCGAAAATAAGTACAAAAGTTATCAACTTTTAAAATACATTTATAATTCAATAGTTAATTGAAGGAAACAAATCAAAGTCAATGATATATTAGTCACTTAGGGTCTCACTATGTAAAATTACAAATAATTAAAGGGTTATATTAGTACAAGTGATATTAAAATATCTAATTTAGCTAAATAATATTTATAGAATGTCCGAACCTAGATTATTAATTATTAATATACAATATTATTTGTTCAAACCTAATTACGAAGCATGATTCTTCGCCAAGTAGAATTACGAAGCACCAGAAGCAGCCACGTAGGCTCAGCGCATTCTGAAATTATATATAGGGAGGATATCGACAATCTAAAAATAATAACTACAAATATGACATGAAATTGACAAAAAAAAAAATATTGATATATATATACACAAACCATAAGGAGTAGACAAAAAAATAGTTGTTACCTAAAAAAATATTTGATTTATTTATTTATACAAAAACTTTATTTATTATGTATAATAATTCAATCCAATCATTATGAAATAATTATAAAATATTTTAGAGTTATTCACGTAAATATTTTCAAATAATTCATACAGAATATTATGAACGGGATGGTAAAATTTTCAAACAGTGGGTTAATAAATTCATTCAATAACCATAAAAATATTTTTATCATGTTTTATAAACATTTATACAATATTTTAATATAATTTATCTACAAAAAAAATTAAATTTTTTATATTATGTTGTAATACTATGTATTTTTAATTTGCACGAATATTTTCTTAGTCAATGAAATATTTTTTCTCGAATAGTGTAACTCATATTTTCTAAATATTTATTTTAATTTTGTATATATACGAATTATTTATTAATAATTAATTTTATTACATATTTTTTCTAACAAAATTGGAGTATAGTTTAATTTATAAAATTGTTAAATATTTCGATAATATTGAAAAGTTGTAAGATATATTTTAAAGGAGAATATTCTCATAATATTCTTTTGAGTTTCAGAATGAGTTTTTCGATTGGCAAAAAATATTATTATTTGATGTGATAATTATTGTAAAATGAGTTCCAATTTTTTGATTGGAGACGGTCTAATTCTAATTTCTAAAATCTTGAAATCTCATTTTCCAACGCCTTGTCTGCGTGTAAGGGACAAGATATAAGGCGTGTGTTTGCGTGGTCAAAAAAAGCTAAATGCAAAAGCGCGACTTTAGCTTTTCCCGACATTCTTTTATTTTCTTAAACAAATCGTGATACCCTTTTGACAACTTCTTTGTTGTTTGAATTTAGGAATCTTTATATATATATAAGAAACTCTATTTAGTATATTTTATTTTTGTTTCTTGTCATGAGGAAATCCAGTTCCTTAAACATGAGATTCTTAATTGATATGGTTTATTAATTAATATACTAATTAAGTTTTCTTATGTTAATTAATTCTTAATTAATATTATTGAGAGGTGGATCCAATCCACATTCAAATTAAGTTTGAATTTTCAACACGTTCTCATTTTATTCTTGCATGGGTTAGTCACTAATTGTCCCATAATCAAGGTTTTCTTCCAAGAATTAGTATTCGAACTGTGCATTTGCACAGATATGAATAAAATATTATGAGTTATTAGTATGCATATAATGATTATAAATAATTTCTTGCATTTTTTGCAGGCCAAATTTACAATTAAAAAGGCTGGAATATTTATTTTTTTAAATTGCATTTATCATATTGGATGTAATGTATATTTTGGTGTGTACTTTTTTTTTGTGAATTATTTCTTTAGGAATTTAAAATGCATTTTTTATTTTCCAAAATAAGTTAATTTAAATGTAACCACAACAATAGCATCTAATCACTTTAAATAGTCAACGCATTATATGGTCAACTGTAAGTAAATCAAAAGTTTAAAATAATTTTTGTA